TCTAAGGGGATGGGTTATTTTTTTTTTTTTTTTTTTTTTTTGCAAACCAGTGTTTGATGTCAAGCATTTTATTCCTGCTGATTCAATAAGAACTTGAAGCCTCCCCCTTCTTTCCCTAGGCAATATAAAATGTGTTGGCATCTCCCCTTCACTAACTATATGAATAATTTTGAAGGGATTTGTGTAAGCTTACAGTTCTAAAAATTCCTCTTCTCTTTACAGCCCTCTGAAGATATGGTACCCTATGAGTCAGACCTCTACCGACAGCCCCATGACTATTACCAATATCTCAACAGTGATGGAGAGAGTCATGGTGGTAAGTTAAAAAATACCTCCTTGGAGCATAAAGTCTCATGGGATACCACAGGAAAGAGATTTAGGACATTCGGGAAAAGAACAAACATTGCTGTGATCTATAATGTATAGGCACATACTTTCAAATCAGAAACCAACAATATTTTATTCTGCTTAATGGCACTGTTCCATCCTAGCAACTGCAACACGGTTTCTCTGAAAGAGAATTTTAGAAAGCACTGAATGATGCAAGGAGCTTCCAGGACATTCAGTGTATTGCCAGGAAGGTGGGATCTCATGATCTCTATCCTTCATTATCTTCACTGTGTTCTTACTTTCCTCTGCAGATCTAAAGCACTCTGCTTGTTTCAGAACTCTTTGAAGACATGGATTTGCAATACTGTATTTCTCTTCTGGTGTTCCCATCTCCAATTCCTGTTTGACTTAGGTCCTAGATACTCTGTTTGCACCTTCATTTTAATTATGTTTCTTTGGTATTTGGCCTTTTTCAACTCCATATATTTCTCTCTTTCTTTTGATCTCTTTTGCATGCTGCCACACCTAGCTTTAACTTTCACTTTTCCTCCAGTACACCCAAGTACTTCCTCTCTCTAAATCTATGTAAGACTTCCTTGTAGATGTTTGTATGTAAACCTAGCTCAATATAAAAATACTGTATGATTATTTATTGCTTCAATTTATGTATGTGATTTCAAAGCTTTGGTGTCTTTATATTTTCGTGTTGTCCGGGCATTGGACTCTAAATCAACGCAGAGGGGAGAGTCTTGCTTTGTGAATTTTGTCTCCTGTGCAATACAATGGTCCAGCAACACCACCCTGGAAATATCAGAGTCAATATTGACTCAGGAAGGAAAAGCACCGTTCTACTGTATCACTTGTGGCAGTCCCTTCAGATCCTGGAGTTTCCCTAAAAGACTCCCACTGATATAGCAACTAGACCCATCACTGCTTAATTTAAGACATCTAACAACTTCACAGCATAGCACTGTTTTATCGTGGCAACAGAAGCTACCTTAAGGGACAGCAAGTTACAGAATAGGATTGTTCTGAGCATTTAACTGAAAAAGATTCCTACCTAAGTTTGTTCTCTACATTGCATTCAGGAAACACCTATGATATTCTTAACACCTGGAGACAAAGAATTAATTCAGTTTTTATAAGTTATCTCATGGCATCTGTCAAGTCACATTAATCAAACCCAGCAAATTCCACATGGAAATTCAGGGTTTTTACATTATAACCTGTACCTGTTTACACACCCATAAAATGAGGATAATATTTATTATCTCAAAAGGCAATTGTGACAATTAAACAATAAATATAAAAGATGCCATGTAGAAAAAAGCACTGGGAAATAACTTTTCTGTCATTAAATCTAGGCTACCTCAAGCAACAACATCCCTTTTTCTTTCATAATCTTATCATCCCATCTGGCTTACTGCCCATTTTTCTGTTGGAAGGCTGTTCCTAAGCTACACTGCTCAGATCATTAACACGTTTTTACACATCATAATGAACACAACAAAAACTCGAAAGTCACCTGTGTGGATTATGGCCTAAGTACCTACCTAAACACCCACTTTGGACAGAAATTTGTTTCTTCCTAAACTTGTGTTGCACTTGTCCTAAAGACCCCAAAAAACATTGTTTAATGTTTTAAGTCCTACAGTAAGTGGTTATGGAAGAGGCTACTTAATCCCAGCCTCCACATTTCAATCAATTTTTTATTTATGAAAGCACCTGTAATGTAGTTGGTTGTGTTTAAATATCTAATATGCCCTATGCTTTCCTGAATTGCTCACAGTCCAACAGAGCAATGAACAACCAAAGAATACAAAGAGGAGTGAAAAACACAAATTAACACATTTTGCTTCTTTCCTATAAACGTTGACAAACCTAACTTTGGCTTTCATTTTGTTAACGTGACAGAAGTAGCAGGTCTTGAGAAGAGCTGTGCAGAAGAGCAGGGAAGGGATGTCACAACCTACTTTTAGAAACATGTACTAAGTGTTCAGAACAATGTGGATAAAAGCACAATGATTGAAAAATGGTGGGGAAAAAGAATAAATAAGGTGCTGCAGTGATAACAGTGAAGTGAAAGAGCTGAGATAGGAGAAAAGAAGAAATAAGTAGGACAGAATTGTGAGAGAGGAGTTTGGCTTGGGGTGCAGTGAGATCACTGGAAATACATAAAAAATAATTTTGCAGGTCTTCTCAATACCACTATGGACCTCAAAGAAAAGCTACCAGATAAAGTAAATAGATACTACAAGACAGAATAATACTTCTGACTTTGCTGATAAGGAACTGCTAAAGAAATAGAAGGTCTTGCTCGAGTGTCAGACTACCTCTCTCTCACTGCTAGCAAATTAATTTTGTGAAAGGGAGATGGCAATATCTTAATCTGTAGATCTGTGCTACATGCATTACTGTCACTTTTCTAGAACATGATGCTGAAGGCAATCCTTACTCCTTGTTTATGTGAGTAGGCAGTCAAGTACACACAATAGTGTGTCACTAATTTAATATGTAGGAGATCATTGCCAATAAGTGAACGCTAAATTTAATAAGCAAGTAAACACACCATAAAAATATCCATATGTTCATCACATCATGCATTGTTTGCATTTATTTTGTATACTGTAGTTTAACTGTTTTGTGAATATTGTAATAAACACAGAGACACAGTCATGCAGGACAGAAGCTACTTCAAGTGATCGTGTATTAGTCCATCACCCTACCCTGAGCTTTTATGCTAGTAAGTCTGTAAATGTAATACAGCGTATTTTGTAACACTGCTGCAATCTTAGTAATTACAAAATTCCACTGCAGCTTTGTCTCCAAGTTATTACTAAACATTATTGGTTTAGTAAAAATCACTTTTTGTATGAAGCTGAATGCTGACCCTTGTTCACTTTGTTGCTAGCCTCATGGAACTTACTAGATTTCGTGATTTGGGATTTTATTTTCATCCCACCTCCTGGAGTAATATGATCATTTAAGAATCTCAGCGTTGATTTTGTTAGGATTTTAGCCCACATAGAAGTGGAGGAAAGTCCAAACATGTGAACCTTAGTCTTAAATGCTATATGGAAAATAGAAAGAACTCCAAACTTCATTAAAAAATCCCCTCGCTTCAAAGCCATTCTCATGATTTGCTGGGGCCTGACTCATAGGTTTTCCAACATTTGGCATTATTAAAATCATGACGTTTGTAAAGTGAGAGCTAATGAGATCCTCCTGTCATTATAGATTAGACTGCTGCACTGCCTAGAAGCACAGCATTTCACTCAACAGAGAGCGATTCTGTAGGGAATCAAGACATTCATTTTCCAGTGTCCTTCAATATTTTTCTCATGTCCTCTATGGGTTTTTTCTTGGCTTGTTTTTTCAGATGAGCGAAACACAGTGGGAACATCTAAGCTGTGCAATGTGGCACTCTGTAAGAAACCCTCTCCTAGTTCAAAATGAGATGGAAAATCTGTACAGCACAGAGCAGAACCACTCAGGGACACTAGCTCAGACCTCACAAGTACAGCCATGTCAACACAGTCGTCTCCTTAGACCGGGCAGAGTGCTGTGCTGACAGAGCTGTCACGTTTCCGGTTCAAGAGCTGGCTCATGAATTTCTGCATGGTTTTGCATTGCGTGATGCAGATTTAGCCTGTTACTCCACTTTATAATAAATACCTTCCTTAAGGCTATTTCATATTCTAACTGCTGGTTCTAACATTATTCATCTATTAAAACAGGAGCAAAGCAATTTACATTGGTCAGAAGATGACTGAGAAAGTTCAGTTATGTTTTCTCACTTGTAGCACGAGAAGCTACCTCCATGGTGAACATTAACACAATGCCTTCAGGTCCACTATTGCTTCCCAACAGGCTAACATCCTCTCTGTCATGGGAGGGAGTTCAGAATTCATGACTGTCCTTCCTCTAACCTTTCGCTACATACAAGACCAAAACAAACACAATCTCCATGTCTCTATAAGAGAGAATTTTTTTCACATCCTCTTTCACTTCACATGAAATTTCTCATAATGACTCCATTGTGTAGCTATAGCTTGGCTTTTCATGATATTTTCCTTTACCCAAAGAATAGACACTTTCCATTTCTAGAATTTTTCTCTCCTTTCTTTTTTCTTCCTTCCACCTTTACGTTTTTGAGAAAAGAACAGAATTGCTATGCGTTACTGACATAACACTAACAAAGAACATAGAAGTAAATAGCTGCTGATAACTCTAATAACTGTGGACACAGATATTTAGAATTTTTTTATATTTTCATGTGCAATAATGTGCCAGGACATTTAACTGCAGAGGGGCTTGTGGAGACAGAATTCGGAATGTCTCTTTTAACGTAACTAAAACAATATTGTTTTTCCTAAGCATCACTGTGAAATTATAGATAATTTAGAAAGAAATAAGGACTTTACCTCCTGTCACAACTTGAATATTTGGTCATAAGTTTGTGTTGAAGTAATTTCTGACATAGATTTAATTTGTAATATATTAGTATTATGTGGTCACTGTAAGTCCCTAGATGCTGTGCTATTATAGTATTTTTACAGCAGCACCTAATTCCATAAAAAAGAAATTCAGTAATGAATAGGCTAAATATTGCATAGTGATTAACATGAATATGCATAAATAGTGTTCCACATGTTAATTTATTTGCCAAGAAACTGTTTAAAAGAACAGTTCTGGAGGCAGCAGGAACTTTGTCATAGGCTCCAAAAAACTAAGAGGTATCTTGAAGTATAAAAACATGACTGCTGACAAAAAAATATTTAAGAAGAATCAAAAGTAGATCACTCAGAGCATGCACAAATACTCATGGCTATGCATGTTGGAAATGTACTGTGTTCTCTCTTGACCGCCATAGTTACTACTAGTAAGACATTTGCCTGGGTTTTGTCATCCTCACAGTTATGCATCGATCTTATTTGCTGTAGTAGATTATCAAAGACAAGGGGTCTTTGAGAATATCTATTGCCATCTGACAGAGGACTTTCTGCACAAGGAGCAGAGCCAGATCATTCTAAGGAACAAGAGTATAGATTACTCCTGCAGTGTATTCTCAACAGTTTATTATATAGGGCTGCCCATGGTATACGGGGCCTCAATAGTTGGCTCTACTTAGAGAAATCTGCAGTAATTTAACCCAGAAAAAGCATGAGTTAGTGTGGCTCAGTCTTCCAACTAAACAAAAAAGTTTCAGATTGAAAGCGCCCAAAGCCTCCTACCAGGACACAGCCTTAGATGACCTGTGGATTCAAACTCACCCACTGCCATTTCCTGGGTTGGAGCAGATGTGAATGTGAAAGTACCTGGGTACTTTGCACCCATAAACTCCATTTTTTTCCCAGAGAAAACAAAATTTTTCTCTAGCACTACAGCACGAAGAAGTGCTACTGTGCATTGTAATTATAACTTTGGGCTATAAAGTCCATACATGGCTCACAGAAAGCGCTATAGAACAAAGCAAAGAAATTACAAAGTAATGCAGCAGCTCCCTGGGTGCTTTTATAAGCACCTTTCCATCCCTTTCACATGCAGTGACATGGTTTATCCATGAATCAGAAAAGCAGGAAGGACAAAAAAGTAAGCACTGGTGTGGTAAATGGTCTGATAGAGCCTCCAAATAAATTTCTACAGGCCTGAGCCATAAAGGCAGCTAAAAGAGCTTACAACTTCTCAGGTACAACGATGTTTGGTATAAACATATCACTGAGTTCCCTCCAAAGGAAGCCACTATCCCGGATTTCAAATCCTCAATGAGATTAGACCTAATCGTTTGAAACATAAGTGGGGAAGGATGAGGAGATAGAACTGAGAGAAAGAATGAAACTGGTATTTAAGAAAAAATATTCACAGCACATTAGTATCCAGATAATGTCATACACAATAACATCATATTGCAGAACGAGACAATTGCTCCTCTATAAATTCAGTACAACTACACTTGGAACAACATGTTCAGTTCTGTCCATTGCATTATCGGAAGGATGTCAACAGCTGGGAGGGAGCTTGGAGAAGTGCACAAGTATGATTAGGGGGGTGAATATACTGACTTATATTGAAAGACTGAGAGCTAAATACATGCGGCTGGGTTAAGTGATAATTAGCAGTAGATTGTAAGGATACATGATAGCAACCTGAAAACATGTGAAGAGTAGGACAGAAATGATTTATAATAATACAAGGGAAGAAAACTCACAGTAGTAAGATATAAATTAGAACTGTTATACTGAATATCATAAAGAAATTTCGGCCATGCATAAAATGATGCATGAAAAGGTAAACTATGGAAGATTAGTTCCTAGCTTAGTCAGAGCAGAGGATGTGATGTTGACTTTGATTTTAAAAAACAGAGTGTGCACAAATATGTGCATAATTATGCATGCAGCTACTGTATGTAAGAGAGAAATAGAATTTGCAATGCTTCACATTTCTTTTAATGGATTTTAAATTTTGAGCAGCAAATATGAAATTCTAAAAATTTTGGAGGCTTATATTGAACTAAAATACCAGAAATCTAAAACTGAGAATGATATGGAATTTAATTTCAAAAGTAAATAAATCAGGAAACAGGACAGTGCTTATCTGAGTACTTTTTATGTTTTTGAAAAAAAATCTAAATTATCACAGAAATTTCAAACATACTAAGGAGATAAAAAAGGTAGAGAGAGAGTCTGCATCAGAATTTAGCCTCACTGTAAACAATATACACCAGACTGCAGCAACAGTTCACGCCAGACTGCCGCAACAGTTCATCCTTTTATTCTCTAGTATTGGTACTGAAAAATGTGTGACATATCAACACATGATTACAGGAAATACCTAGCAAAGTGCCGTGCCTTTTCTGCAGCATTCCTGAAATTTTGCTGGCAGAGTAAAATAAAGACTGAAGATAATTGCAGAATAATCTGTAAATTTTCTCCATCTCCTCATTTCTGTGCCATGAGGAAGAGTGTAATGAGTATATGACAGTATGTAAATCAGTAGAATTTGTTGCCTCAAGAATGAAAATGTAAGATTGTTATGGTCTCTTCTTGAGAAAGGTGCCAGCATTAATGTCTTTTGCATCTTATGCTAAATTATTGAAATCCATCTCTCCATCTAAGAGTATTCTCCTCATTAAAGTGGCCTAAGTGTTACTTTCCAGCCACAGGCATTTATGAGATTAGGAAAAGAAACTTTACAGGGATCTATATAGATTGTCACCAGAGACAGAAAGGTCAACAGGGGTGGCGTGGAGAGGGCGGAAAGGACAGTGACAGGAGTAGGAACCAATGAAAGACAGGTAAACGCCATGGTTCTTAATCTTGTAATGACAGACAATCTATTTTTATTTTCTTTAGATCATTACTGGGAATATCATCCACACCACATGCACAGTGAGTTTGAGACCTTTGGAGACAATCACTTCACAGAACTGCAGAGTGTACAGCCTCCCCAGCTGCAGCAGCTGTACAGGCACATGGAGATTGAACAAATGCATGTCTTGGATTCCGCAATCCCAACCACACACATCGGACTCAACCATCAGGTATGGTTACCAACCCTTACTCAGAATTTAGGACGATAGTTAAGGGTAAGGAAAATAATGCATCAGGGAATGCATGTGAAAGAGATTGCTGAAATGAATTATACAAGTTCTTACTGCACAAGCACTTGATATAAAACTCAGGACAGATGTGGTTTAAGCATTCTTTTTATCTGGATAATGAGGAGTTGTGTTCCTCAAACTGTGCCTAAAAAGATAATTGTATTTTGTGGAGGTCTTTGAAATTTCAAAATTTTGTTTTATTTGGAATGAAAATCAACTGTTGGGAAATTCTGCAGAGGAACAGGAACTGAGAAGCTATGCATTGTCATAGCAAGGGTATCCATGACTACTGGGAAGTATTCTGAGCCTCAAAGTAGTGGGAAAGTTTTAAATATTTCCAAGCAACCCTGACAATTTTACATGACCTGTACAAGAAATGCTAACAAAGACAAGTCAGTGGTAATTTTACCACAGTGAAACAGGCTGAGGACAACCTACTTGTGTTTTTACGTGAAAGTAAATAAGTCACGAGCCAAAACACACTGCCTTGTCTCTGCTCAAATTTTACATGAAGCCAGTCATGTCCCTGTAAAAAAAGATACTCCATTGTGCAGTAAAGATGCCAAAGTCACCAAAGTGCCAGTGAATTCTCACTAAAGCTGAAATTATAAGGGGTTCCATCGTACTGCAAAGATACTAAACAAAGTGGGTGTGGAGATCACTTTTAACTCTTGATCCTACAAGAATATGCCCAAAGTCATTACTGGGAGCAATAAGAAAGCTGGGTGATCTTGTGCTAAGGAGTTTCCCAAGGCAGGCAAGCTACGTACAATGTGCTGAATACAAGACAGAGTAGGACTGAGGTCAGAGAGAAAAGTGTTTGCTGATTACAGTGCTGCATATAATGGTGCCATTGCTGAAGTTTTGTGAGAGAAACTGCATGCATGGAGTTGCCATTTTGTGCTTCTTTGTTCAAAGCAACTGAAATTGTATACAAATACTGTATTAATCAAAAACAAAGAAGGCAAAAAATTGAGTGAATAAGTTAACACTGTCAACAGGAAACTGACTGACTGCAAGCCATCAAACTTCTCACCTACTACTCAGAAAAAAAATCAGGAATAGAATATAAGATGTAGATACAAACAAAGAATTAGGAACAGAAAGTTACAAATATAAAAAATGCTTCATGGAACAGCAGTCTGTGGGAAGCTTCAAGTCGTTTCAGTTGCTCACTGCAACTGCTAATACATAATGACCGACCGTTACCTCCAGCTAAAGGCAAAGAATAAAAATTAGCCCCTTTATGGATGTCTTTGGAAGCACCACCAAAAAACAAGAGAGGGTGCTTCTGCTTATCCCACTTCATTCTACTCAGTTATCATCTTTCATTGCAGGATGAAAGGCAGAGAATTAATTTTGTCGGAACTTTTGATAAAGAGCACTGTGCTCTCTGCCCCGCCCCATACCAAGCTGCAGAAGATATTAGTAGGTAGAATTCACCACTACCCTCCTCTTCCTTACCAGCTGGGGATCTTTGGCTTTTTACTTTAAGCTACAGTAGCTCATGCAAGTGGTACTCAGCATGCTCTGAGGTTTCAACTCTGGTGTGTCTCAGCCGCAGTCCTAGGCAACACATACCATTATTCAAGGCATTTTCAAAGAAAGAGAAGCAGGAAGCAAGCTTTAATCCTTCACTGAATTTGCCAGTTACTAACTGCACCCATGCTTGTTGTGCAATATCAGAGTTACAGTTTGCAAATAAAGGAAGAACATGCAAAGATATTTCTCTAATTTTCTGTTGATATCACATTATTTTGTGAAATCAAATTTGAGGCTCAAGCTGTTCTTGGACAAGATGTCTTTAAAAAGTTTTCTTAGCCTGCCAACAGGCGGTCTCCCAAATAATAAATTAAGAAAAGAATAGTCATTCTGCAGGGAGAATGAAAGAAAAGGTTGGAAAACTGTGAAGAGCTTTAGAAAGAGGAAAATCACAAATGGATGCCACAGACCCTGAGATAACATCAGAATATGGAAAGTAGCCAGCAGTTTCTTAAGCTTTCTCTCCCCAGAACTGTATTAGTAACCTAGCTCTTTCAAACACACTAGCAGGTCCTCTGTGACTCTGTGTAACATAACTGTGTGACACTGTATGTACTGACCTACGCTGAGTTTCAGGCGCAAAGTAAGTGTAAGCAAAAATACAGCAGATGGAGAAAGTGGGGACAGTGTGGGGGAAGCTTACTCAACTCCCCAGGTTGGCCTCTGCAACTCCCTTTGCTTGTGAGACACCGTTCCCCCTCCCTCCTCCACAGCACTCTCCCACCGTCCCCCTCCAGCCCCAGAGGAGCGGTTTCCTTACTCCCACACCACCCCCCCAACGCACTCCAGGTTTCCACAACCTTCTCCTCTGCAGGGGCACCAATCTCTGTTCCCCTCCCCTGTAAGACATTGTCCCACCTTCTCATGCCCCTTCCCCCCATGGCACTGTCTCTCTCTTCCTTCCTACCCCTGAGGCCGCAGCTTTCTTAACTGTAAAAAGCTAAAGGTGACTCTGTGGTGAGGGCTGAAGTTTCGCTCTTGGGGATCTGACAGGAAGCTTACACACACTCTTACCCAATCCTGGCCTTCCTGCCAGATCGGCTCCAGCCAATCTGCCAACTCACTAACCGCCAGCTGCTGCACCCCAAAACCAGCCCTTTGCACACTCCTTATTGGGACATTTTAAGCTGGTGCAGAACTCATCTGAACAGCACCACTCGGCAAAGCCCGACATGGGGTGGGTGGTGTGACTCATGAAGTGAACACCAACTCCCCGCTTCAGTGCCTGAAGTCCCCTGGGAAGGGAATCAGGCTCAAGACATCCTTTCTTGGTGGAGGGAAGGAAGAGCAATTCAAAAGGAGCTCACCTTCCAGGACTATCGATCTGGCCCATTTCATGAAAACCACATTCTACATGCTGCTCATATAGATGCTGGGGGATGTTGGCTGTTTTTTTAATGTAGGAATTGGGTTCTTACTCCCTGCCCTTCAGACTGATCTGTTTCTCTTTCTTAAATAAGAAGCTGCAATAATTCATGGCAACTGGTCATGATCCCTAACAAACCAGACTGCAACTGAGAATTTACAGAGCTGAGGTATATTCCACACTGCTCCTGACAAGACCTCTATATAAGGGCAAGAGGATTTAGCACAAAAACTGGCTTGCTAGCTTTGCACATGAGAAATCCCCATTAATGGGGAATTTTCAGATAGCCACTTAGGAAAAGAGAATGTGAGCCAATATGATGTATCCTTTATCTTAGTGCTAAGGCTATTCCCCCCTCACAGGGGAAATTCAGGACAGGAATCTGACAGACCCGTGTAACCCTGCCTCCAGAGTTGCATGCAGTCCCGTAGGGATTCAGTGCTGTCAGAAGGTACTATGCCTGAGAAAGGAAGAGAACAACAGAGCCAAAGCCGGTCAAAGCAGCCATGCTAGGGCAGAACCCTTCAGCTCTTTCAAATTTAAAAGAGTAGTTCCAGAAGGTCTGTGTCAGAAAAAATGTGTTCTCAAAAGCAGTTTTACACTGGGGATAGGCAACAGGGATCAGAAACTCATTAGGAAGTATGGGGAGGTACGGGGGAAGAGAGGTAATATCACTTGCATAGGATATAACATGTGGGAAAGTTCTGATTTTCACAACCTTATTCCTCCTTCCCTCTTGTAAAGATGCATCTTTGTTCACGTGTAAGTGTTGACTGTTTGCTGGAAGTGTTTCTTAACTGCATAGTATTTATTATAAATGTCAACAACTAAGTCACTCAGTATTATCCTAAACAATCTCATATACCTCTGACTTTCTCCCCCCTTTTCTCTGTAACTCTCTCCATGACATTTCCTTTTTTTGTCTTGATGCTCCACTCTCTATCACTACCTCCTCCCTCTACTACTCTTTTCTCCCAAAGGTGTCCTATTTGCCCCGGATGTGCCTACAGTACTCCTCTCCACCACAGCCCAGTTCTGATGAGGAGGACATAGAGAGGCAGAGCCCCCCATTGGAGGTATCAGATGGGGAGACTGATGGTGTGGACCCTGGGCCTGGAATTATGCACGGAGAAACAGGTCAGTGAAGACAGAGGGACTTCATCAAGCTATGTGCTGAGCAGCTGTTACATTACCATGATGATAACGAATAAAACTGTAGAACTGCTGTGCTAGTATTTTATCCCGCTGCCAAAGCTTCACTTTCCCTGACTCCTTGCACTCTCCTGTCCTCCAAATCTTTTATGACCATAACTGTGTCTATATCTCAAATCTCTTTTCTTCACGTACTCCCACTTCCTCAGGCTTCCTGAATGGAAATGGCTTTTGCCATTTCTACTCCAATTTCCGTTAACAGATGGGAAAACCAAGGCAAGAAGGTCAAGGAACTGATTTTTAAAAATATTTAGCTCTGTTTGCTCAATGCCTGAAAGTCAGGTTATGTATAATCTGCCCAAATTATCTTCAGATTAGTTTCAAATTAGCAATGTTTCTCAGTTAGCTTCAAATTAGCAAATTAATTTCAAAAACGGTTTGGCTTTTGGAATTCCTTATTCTTGTTTTTTCTTCTTGGTACATCAATCCACATTATGTCCTCACAGTGTAATGCTGTCTATTGTTATAGATGTTGCAAACTGAAGAAGTTACGTGACTGACAAGCTAGCTGAAATAGTTATATGAATTATATACAATTATATACGTTCTGCTGTTTCACCAGGAACTACACTCCAATACTAATGCTCCACTGCCTTTCTTCTCTGACTCTCACACAGGCAGCAAGAAAAAGATACGTCTGTATCAGTTCCTTCTGGACCTTCTTCGCAGTGGAGACATGAAGGACAGCATCTGGTGGGTGGACAAGGAAAAAGGTACTTTCCAGTTCTCCTCCAAACACAAAGAAGCATTGGCGCATCGCTGGGGCATCCAGAAAGGCAATCGCAAGAAAATGACCTACCAGAAGATGGCACGGGCTTTGAGAAACTATGGCAAGACAGGGGAGGTCAAGAAAGTCAAGAAGAAGCTGACCTACCAGTTTAGTGGAGAGGTGATGGGAAGGGGGGTCACTGATAGGAAGCACTATCCTCACTGAGGCCATGGGACCCTAAGCAAGAAAAATATTAAGACCTCCTGGCTGGATACCAGCAGAGGAGATGGACGCATCTTTCTCTTTGCTTCCTGTGCCCCCTTCTCTGCCTTTAAACGGCCTTTACCGTCAGATGTTTCTGGTACGAATTCCCTTCTTCAGCATCTGAGAATCCTAAACGTGACAGAATTCTTTGCTTCCATCCTACAAGTTGGACAGAGTTGGGAAATTTAAACAATGTACAAATATATTATTGTCAGGAAAGATTTTTTTGATTGTATTATAACTAAAGAATACAGCTGATGAAGTTCTGCCTTCAAAGGTGGTGCTGTGTCATTCACAGTGACACTGCATTAGCTTACAGCTTTCAAACTAGCATTAATACAGGCTCTGCCGCAGCTCTCAAAGCTAGAGAGAAGTTTGCAGATCTTGGAATGATACTCATTCTTTTAAATAGTAATAACATGTACATATTTAATAAAATTTGATATAATGAAGTTCTGGTGTTTGCATAATAAATGATTACTTCACAAACGAATCTCATGTGCATTCAGTTATGCAGATACAGCTCATGTGTGGTACCGGAACAAAAAGCACACTGGGTTATAGGGCCTTATCCCTCCGTCACTACGCAATTTACTTAGAAACATCATCAGTGCTGTCAAACTAAGTAACAAAGATAATAGGTGAGATACATTACTGTGAAAGAGACTACAGCACTGAAGTCAATTTTAAAATACATATATATATATATATCTGTCATTATTTTTCCTGTGCATATGAAGCGCTGCCAGTTGAATAATTTCTATTCGCTTCTACCGAGAATGGTGTTTATAGCTCTATCCGGTTTAGAACATAACAATTAACCATGTTCTTCTGTGGTTTCACTCATTTTCCTGCTCCTGTTCTTTCCTCTTGCTTGCTTACCTCCACAGTGATATCTTGATTTTAGCTTATGAACCTTTCTGAGCAATAAGTTGCATTTAATAATGTCTTTGCAGAATTCTAGCACAAAAGGTTTTCAAGTTTTTAACTGTGGATTTTAGTCCCTACTGTAAAACAATTAATAGTAACTAATAACAACTGCATTGTATAGATTACACTCAAAATGCAAAATAAAAGATAATTCAACACCTGAGATACCATGGTAAAGTTACCCAGTACATCTAAACACAGAAAAGAAAACCAAAGTCAACCAACACTAAGAAAATTAGCATTTTAACTTTTAACATTATTTAACATATCCCAACTGTGTTCAAGCACTCAGAAATCAGGAAATATCATCATGATTCTTCCAAAATAGATGAGATGAAATGAGATAGGTCTAGAATGAAGAGAAGGGTTTTGTTTAACAATATTAAAATGTAGTAGAACACGCCAAATATGACAGTCTGGAAGTTGTAACTAAGTAACGTAACTAACTTGAAGCTTTTCAGAGCTTGCTCCTCATTGAAACCAGAAATAGTTGAAAGTGATGGGCTTCTTACAGACCCGAGTTCTCAAAATTATATCTAAAAGTAGTCAGTTTTATCTACGTTAACAATTTCACCATGGAAGTGAAAAGTCTGGTGACATCATTGGGCTACAGTGTCTCCTTGGAGCCAAACAGAAAGAAGCTCCTGCTTAAAAAAAAATCACAATGTAGTACTTCCCAATTCTTCTTCCCAGTTCAAGAACATAATAAATACATCAATCAATGCCAAAATCAACTGAGAGTTAAAAGCGGATGACGGCTTCAGAACTTTCTCTATCCAAGACAACAATAATAAATAGAAATTATCTTTCAGTCTTATAAAAAAATCTTGCAACCCAACTTTTAGTTACTGTTCTTTGAGGACGACCATGTATATTCTCCTAGTCAAATATTTTTTATTCAATTAGGGTTAGGATATCTCAAAGCTATAAAACAATTTAAGAAGAGATTTTGTTTCTAAAATTGTACTGTAAGAATTTACTTCCTACAGGACACAATGTAATACACCCTAAATTAGATTTGTATAAACTCCATCTGCATCCATATTGCAATTGTAGGATGGAAGCTGAAGACACTGAAGGTAGCTCTCAAAAGACTAGAACTACACTCAATGCTGACATAATTCAGGTTTCTTCAGTGCTGAGCTAGAAACTCAGGACTTTTCTGCTTGGTACTGATGATGACTCTCCACCACTGACTTGCTACTAGAAAAAGACATCTGCCCTCATCAGACTTGCAGACTTGATATTCAAGAAAACTAGAGGATTAATTCCTCTCTTCACAAAAATATCTTTATCACAAACACAGTTTGAAAAGCAGAACTGATCATTCTCTGACACTATAATTTGAAGGAGAAGGACCATTTCCTCTTGCAGGAAAACTATGATGACTGAAAAGAGCTAACTGGTGAGCTAATTGTAGAGATGTTTAGGATGTCACAAAAGCCATTTCAAGCTTGTCAAAAAGCCTTCTTAGATCTCAGAGACCTAGTTTTCCATTTTCCTAGCAAGTCTTGCATAGAAAACAATTAGATGCTGGAGAAATAACACAAAACTAAAATAAACATTCAAACAGAAACAACAAGAACCTTTAAATGAGTGATTTGAGCACTGTGCATTACTATAAATTATTATTTCAGAGCACCTACTTGTACTTGAATTGAAGAATTTGCATTTTACACTGGTTTTGGCCACAAGTAACATGGAAATGGAAGTGGAAGAATCTGAGGAAAAATATTTCTGCGGACAGTATTATTAATAATTAAAACATTTTAAAAAATACTATTTAATATACTTTAACAAGCAGGTTTAAAATTTTCTTTATCTCCAAAGTTGAAGTCTTTTTCTCTTCCTCTTGTTAATGCTTTGAAATACTGTTTCTAAAAATATTCACCCCCCATCTGTTTCTGGTTAGGTTTTTCATCTGTGGCATAAAGAGTCTGGATAATCATGTGTTGCAGCTGTGAAGGAGATCAAATGATGATGCTTCTCTGCCACAGTACCGTTTGTATCCCATCCAATCAAACTGGTCTGGATAGTAGGCTGTCTAATCAAGCTGAATTATTGCCATTCAGTTGCATATGCAAGCAGAAGCTCTTAGGCTTTTTTAGAGAAAAATACCAAAATTAATGTGACAAAATCAGGAAAATTACAGAGAAGCAAGCGTTCCATTTTCTCTGAAAGTGGCCAAGTACCAGACAGGCAGACACGCTGGAAAAAGGTATGTCGGGTCATTATCTGGAGAGATGACCCATGATTAGCACAAGTTTATTGGAACATTTTGCAGCCGACTGCTGTTACAGATCATCAATCCTTTTTCAATGCAAGCATTCATACTACAGCTGGATTTCAACTTACATATGACCTTTACAGCCTGCTTTAAAAAAAACCAACCACTTCTATTAGCTGCTGACTAGTTCCTAATCAATTCTTGTGGAAAGATATTATTCAGAAAACTATTGCTGAGCTAAATCCCAAATACTGAATTTCCTACAATATTTTAGACTCCCTCCAGCCATACATCAGAGGTGTAGAAGGTAGAAAAATTGCACTGGCTGTCCTGAGGGATAATTGCTTATAATCATTTACAGAGATAGCATATATTTTTTAATTCTACCCAGTCAAAGAGAGTTTTAGACATTTCTAGATCTGAGCTGCTACTCACCTACATCAGACAGAACCGCAGTTAAAGGTGCTATCGTTTGGTTTTGCCTGACAGTCTACATGTATTGAATCCCCCAAACCTCCTGAAAAATACATATATATATCTCCTAATATATTTACTTTTTTTTTGTCTCCTCCTTCATTAAATTTTATCTCCATAGCCTCATTTTGAGATCCATACACTGCCAGAGTCTTATACTCTGTATTTGTCTTCATTTTCGATTACAACAGGGCTTACGCTCTGTACTTTGCCAGGTTTTTTTGCCTCAGTAAACCTTCTGCCTCAGTTTACTTTTTCTATTTGTATCCCTTAATGTCTTTTTCTTTCTTCCATTTCTTTCTAGTTTTTTTTCCTCCCTCATTCAAATCTCTGCACAACAAAAGTCACTTCATAATCATCAAGCTTATAGCGTCAACTTCATAACAAGCACATATATCACATGACAGTCCAATTCAGTTTAGTTACTCTATTGCTCTAATTTTGCTTATACTCTAACTGCACATTATAAATTCATAGCAGAGACTTTATCACTGATGACAATACAATAAGTATTTTTTCTTTCTCAAAGCCCAGAACAGTATCTTCTCTATGGGAATCCCACTCTTGTGTATTTAAAATATATGGATTACTGGTAGAAAAGACTATGATATGACACAGACTACAGCACTCTTTGGGTACCAAGTCCAAGAATTTGCATTTATTTCTAATTTATTTTGTGTGTTAACTTGCTATCTCACCACCTTTCCTTGTTCTAAGCGATACTCAAACCAGATTTACATAATTTCACATACCCATGTACCTAAAACACTAAAATCATAAAGCTTGTAATAAACAAAGCTACTGTAATGAACCCACTAATCTCATACTACAGTCAAGTAGACAAAGAGCTTTGCTCTTTGAAGCAACTGTAACATAGCTAAAACTTCACCAAGTTTCACCTTTCCTCTCTAACAAATTTGCATGTTGCAATTCAGTTGGTTCAGTTGAGCCTGTGGTATTAGGGAGGTCTGTATATAACCCAAGTCATCAGAGTCCTAGTCCAAGAGCTGGGGAATGTGAACTTCTTCCAAAGAACATGAAAACAGCAGTAGGCCGCAGATATTCTTTCTCATTTTCTTACTCATAACTCATCTGTGTCTGCTTTAGCCCCATTTATTTCTCTCACAACACCTCACATCACCACATAGGATCACAGAGTAACAGGTCGGAAGGGACCTTTGGAGGTCACCTCATCCAACCCCCTACTCAAAGCAGGCCAATTAGATCAGGTTTCTCAGGGCAACTTTCTTTTCATTCTCTGTTTCTTTCCATTCTCTCCACTCATACAGCCACATCCCCCTTCTTCATGCCTTCAGTTCCCCACAGTGTTACTTTTTACTATTGGGGAGTCAAAGCAGTACGTGAGAATGAGCAGAGCAGTCTATGGACAGGAGGAGAATGAGGATGTGGTAGAGCAGATAAGGTTTAGCAGGAGGTGGTGGAGGAGAAGGAAGGGTGGGAGGAGGTGTTGGGGAGACCAAGGTTATGCAAAGGATTGGGGAAGCGGCTTTGTGGTAGGAAGGAATGCAGTTTCTGTGCTTTAAGGGCTCCCTCTGAGCTTTTGTTTTAACTCCCCAGCAGCAGAGCAGCAGTGCTCTTGGTATGAGAAGCCCTTTGACCACTGACGCCTTTGTGCAGAATGCTCCGATGCTTCTGCCTTATGCAAAGTGAAGAATGTTTGGGTGCCGAGATGGGCATTTGCGTATACAAATCAGTTTGGGTTTCTTTTAGATTTAACTAACTAATTTTCTGAGTTTGAGTGTTTTCTTTTAGAAACATAATTCTAGAATTCTTCTTTAGACATTCCCTCTTCCACTTTTTCCCACCCACCAGCACTCTGTACTCTGTTCCTTTCTCA